CATTATTAGAAGATACTCTTATGTTAGAGTTTATCTTCATATGATCAATAGTTATTTCAAAATCACTTAAAATCAATAATAAGATAATTTACATAAAATATTTTGTTACTCTATTTATTATATCGTTTAATAAAACCAATGTCGTTTGCTTATCTATGTGTTGTATTTATGCTTTTCTATAACCTAATAGCTATGAAATTTCGCTTCTCTTTTCAATCTTGTCTTTCTGATTCAACTCAACGTAGATTCCAATGTTGAGCTAAGAAAATCTTTTTCTATGTGAAAACATAGTTTTATGATTTTTGGACCTCACCTTATTGGATATTACTATTTGGGAGTGGTAATTAAATGTGCGGGTCATTTTGGATATGAACGAGTCGAAAAGGAGTAATACAAAAATAAATAAAATATCCGACCCAATAGGGATAGAAAATGAGTTAACTCGTGGATAATATGGATACTTGAATATGATCACTCTTGGGAGAATTTTTAGTTTTTTAAACTTGAATAACCCCCAATTTGAGTCTTTGCAAATATAAAAGTTAAACATATTTGTTATCTATTTATTATCCATATTTTAAGTGGATAATATGAATCTTATCCATATTTGACCCATTTTTAAAAAGTTCATTATCCAATTCATTTTTAGTGAATAATATGAATGAATTATTTTTTTCATTCATTTTTGTCACTACTACTATTATGGACTACCCGTAAAATCAATGCTAAATTGGTGAAAGCTATCTTGCGTTCTCTCTCTTGGGTAGGTCAGTTTCGCTCTCTCTTGTCGGTAAGTATATGTTATGGTATTGTTGTCTGTATCGTTATCCGAATTTGTGCAAGTGTGTCCACCCCCCTCCCCCCCAACTTACTTGACGAGAAATCCTTTCTCGCGAACAAACATAAACCCTACACACACCTAGAAACACCCCTTCCTGCATATCCATACAAAACCCGAGTAGGCGGGTCGAAGTCCTACGAGGTACCCACTACTCGGAGTACCCTCCCAAAAGGAAAAAGAGGTGTCGGTTAGGTTCGGTTCCGATGGGAGTGACATTTCATTTTCAACTTTGGGGGTGGTGACATTTTGATCTTTCAACTTTGTGGAAGACGTGACACTTTTTTAGCTACTATAGTTCAATCATTTGTTGAAGCACATTTCATTATTGTATTGGTTTGTGTTCATTTTTCCCATGTAATAAGTCGTAATATATATCTTTTTTTGCTTTAGATGAAATATTACAAGGATATAGTAATACAATTTATTTACGGTCGATACTAAAAAAATCTTCTAATAATGTTAAGATCTTTCATGTAAAGACATATACAATTAAAAAATAGATAAAGACTAATTTTAAACATATAAACTCACAATTCTTTACGTGAAAGTTTCTAATGAAAAGATTTAAAGTAAAAACAATTAATAAAAATCTCAAAAAAGCAATGCAAGTAATTAAGCTAAAGACTATATAAAAAGTTAATTAATAAAAACTTCCAAATTGCCAACAAATGACGAAAATATTTTCAAATATTTTTATATAATATCTTATGATAAAAATTTCATGTAATCATGTTAAGTATTTGTATGTAGTTCCAATCTTTAATTTATATTTACTGTAATTCAATTAATTAAACATTTAAGTAATATTGGCCACGTGGTTATCAAATGGGCCCCATGATTCTTAAAGAGTTGTACAACAGACATGGCTATTAGAAAATTCGTGTTTATTCTTGCTCTTGCAAAATGATAAACAAAGAGTCAGCTGGGACCCACGCCACAGAAAAGCTTTTGGATAATTATGAAGAATGGTGAGATAAGCAGGGGTAATTCGGTCTCGTCATTCAAATATCTATATGCAAGTTATAAGATGCCTTTTTACCCAATCACGTTGCTCCCTTTCACTCGAAATTACAAGAACACCCTTGAGGTGCGAAGCAGGCATGTTGGCCTGGTGCCTACTTATTCCCCTTCTAATAAGTAGTAAAAACATTGAGAATAGTGATTAAAATAAATACCCACCCAATTTATTTTATATGACATACTTTCTTTTTAATTTATCTAAAAAGAATAAAAAATTTTATATTTAAAATAATTTAATTTTAAACTTTTGAGTTTATCTCAATGACTTTTTATAGTCACAAAAATGTTTGATGGTTGATTAGCTAGGAACTTGTGTTTTAGCTACATTGTACATTCTAATTACTACACTTTGATTGTATTTGAGCCTAATTGTTAGTACTTTATATTTATTACGTGTATTACGTTGTGTAAGATGTGATTTCGAGTGAAGAAGCAAGTTTGAAGCTAAAATGGATGATTTGGAGCTTTGAAGTATGAGTAGAAGCCCAAGATATTAAGTCGGGATCACGTTCGGGGCTCGAGTACCAAGTCTGGATGTCAAAAAATGAGAATAAAAGATTACTTTGTGAAAAATGCACTACCGCGCCTCGCCATGTGCCGCGGGGCGTTAGTACAAAATTCCCGCACAGTGTAAAAATCAACTCTCTAAACTTCTCCACAGGCATGCCGCGTGGGGAGGCGCACCATGCATCACGCATGTGCAAATTTTACAGAGTATTTCTCCTACTTCGACCTTGAAAGGATAGTTTCATCCAGGCTCGTTCTTCTATGGTACAAAATATAAATACACCAAAAATATATTTTTAGAGGACCTTTGTTTTTTACCTTGGAAGCTTTGGGAGAGCATTGGGGGCTACAAGACACAAAATTTTATCATCTTTCCATCAATTTAATACGAGAGTTTGGATTATAACGTTAGATTGATGCTTTCTCACTCTTTAAATTTATTTGTAATGACTCCCTCCATCATTATGGAGTAGCTTACCTTAGGGTTTGACATGATTTGGCGACTTGGTTGTTGTTTATGGACTTGACTACTGCTTAATTGCTTGAATTTATTGGAGGAGCTTTAATATAGTTGTGATTTTATTCTTTATAGTGTTTAATCGAAAGAATAACATCTTATTGAATATTATTGCATTGTATGCCTTAGTTTATTTTGGTCATTCTTCGAAGTAATCGAGAGAGCTTTTTGAGTTACCGTTTAAATTAAGATTGAGCAATATTCATGAAAAGTTTCTCTTAGATCATTCCTACCAATAGATTCTTGCAAGTTTCACCGCACTTTACATTAATTTATTTGAAAGATTTAGATTTAATCGAGAGAGGAGTCTGAATCGGAAGTATAAATAGTCACATATTGAATTCGTGAGAATCAATAGAACCTCAAGAGTGAAATATAACAGTATCGTATCCAGAATAACAACCTTGCACCTATCATGTCAAAACCCTTATTTCTCACATTGATAAGAAACTAACTCTGCTAATCTCTAGTTCTTTGCAGTCAATTGTCAATTGCTTTACTTTAGTAGTTAATCGTAGTTCGTAATCATTCAGATCAAGTTTTGATAATCCTGAATAGCAGTTAAACCATGAATTACTAGAGCATTATTTAAATTCAATCCATGTGGAGACGATAATCATACTATACTATCTTCGGCTAGCGAGCATCAATTTTGTAATGTGTTTTGCGCTCGTCAAATTTTGGTGCCGTTGCTGGAGATTGGTAATCAATAGTGTTCAAAATAATTTTTGGTGCTAATTCAGGAATCTATTTTATTTCCGTGTGAAGGCAACATGTTGACTTCTCTGTTGTATGACTCGATCTTCTTCAAAATAGTTGATTCCATACAATCCAGATGTGGAAAAGAGTCTGCGACAGTTGAGGAAAGAGAAAGAAATCATCAAAAAGTTCTTGGGGAAACCTTCAACCCAAGAACACGTGGCTAATAACGGTGACAACAGAGTAAACTTAACTGCAAGAGAGGTAGCACAACAAGAAGCTGCACGAATATCAGATGAGGCAACCCGTAGAGTTGAGACTATCAAGATGGTGGGGGTCAAAGATTCAATCTAAACCGACCCTTGGTTAAATACCAGTTCAAAAATATGGTACCGAGGCTTGGTAGAGCATTGGGTGATTATGCCAGACCCGTCTACAATCAGGGACTGTCCAGTGTCAGACCTCCACCCATAGCAGCGAATAATTTCGAGTTAAAGAAGGTTTGCTTTAAACTATCTAGAACAACTGTGTCATCAGAGGGAAGGTGAATGGAGATCCTAACATTCACTTGATGGATTTTGAGAAAAGATGCAGTCTACTTAAGGGCATTCCCCTTTTCACTGAAGGATGACGTGAAACACTTGCTTCGTAGCTTACCAATGGGGTCGATCAGGACATGGTAAGATATGACTGAAAAATTTCTTGACAAATACTTCTCAGCTACTAAAACAGTGAAATTCAGAAAGAAAATTCACAACTTCTGCCAGAAGGACACTGAAACAGTTTTCGAGACTTGGGAATGATTTAAGGAGATAATGAAAAAGTGTCAGCATAATGGGATTGAATTGTGGATGCAACTTAAGGACTTTTGGGATGGACTGACACCTTCCTCACGACGAACTCTGAGCACTGCAGTTGGAGGTCCTTTAATGAAGAAGACTCTTGAGGAGATTGTTGTAATTCTTCATGATCTCTCTGAAGATGCTAACCAATGGCCTGCTAAGAGTAATGATAGAAGAAAATCAGTTGGGGTTCATCAAGTACATTCTAACATATCAGTGCAAGCCCAACTAGATGCCATGGCCAAAGAGATAAGAATGTTGACCAACCAAGGTCTAAAGCCAACCATCATCAGTTTGTGACTTTTGTGGAATGGGTCATCCAACGCATGAATGTCAGTCCTCAGCTGCAGATGAAGTGGTAAATAATGTGGGAAGGTTTGACAGAGGAAACTACCAGAGTGATAATAATTTTAACTCTTTGGGACAGAGGCACCCATGATTTTCTTGGAGTTTACCAAATGGTAGTCTGAACTCATGGCTGCAGAATAATCCGAGACCCCAGGGACAAGGAGCTCCTAGATGTCAGAATCAGCAGAGACAGTAATACCAACCTCCATATTCTAATCAGTCTAGCATGGAAGATCTAATGAAAGCTTTCATTATTAAAACGGATGAGAAATTTGAAACTTATAGTGCAGCTATTCGAAACTTAGAGAGGCAAGTGGGGCAGATTGCTAGTCTGTTGTCCAAGAGGTCTCCAGGAACCATCCCTGTGAATACCGAAAAGAATCCAAAGGAAACAATAAATGCAGTGTCGTTGCGGAATGACAAAGTATTGCAAGGTCCATTGGTAGCAGAGAAGAATGAGTTGACGAGAAATCAAGTTAAGAATGAAGTGAGGGCAGAGCAAGAGGATGATCTGAAGAAGAAGAACAAATCTAAAGTTCCAAAACTAACGAAGAAATACAAACAAAGAAGTAATGATGAGATTGAAGAGAGTAAATACATGTCTGCTCTACCTTTCCCCCAGAAGCAAAGAAGAGAGAAGTTGGACAAACAATTCAGGCGTTTTCTAGAAGTGCTCAAGCAGGTGCATGTGAATATATCTTTCACGGAGGTGCTTTCACAGATGCCAGCCTATACTAAGTTCTTGAAGGAGATATTTTCTAACAAGAGGAAAGTGGAAGAGACATCGGCTGTCAAGCTCACAGAGCATTGTAGTGCCATCCTACAAAATAAGCTCCCTTAAAAGTGTGAAGATCCAGGGAGTTTTACTATACCTTGCTCTTTAGGAAGTACTAAGTTTGAAAAAATCTTTGTATGATTCAGGTACTTCTATTAATCCTATGCCTTTGTCTATTTTTAGGAAATTGGAGGGAGAGATTGGAAAAATCAGATCTATACTTGTGTCCTTGCAGCTGGCGGATCATACCAGAAGGAATAGTGAAAGATGTGCTAGTTCAGGTAGATAAATTTGTGTTCCCTGTGGACTTTATCATGGTGAATATGGAAGAGAATAGGGAGATCCTTCTTGGCTACTAGTAGAGCAATTCTGTACATTCAAACAAGGCAGCTCATGCTCAAAGTGGGGGAAGAAAAGGTATTTTTTAAGATGGACGGAGCAAGAGGCCTCTAAAGGAGCAACTTGGAGAGAGTAAAACTGATAAGTGTTGGGTGTACCCCAAAGAAGTCTAAAAAGAAGCTCTCAGCATGGATGTGTGCACTAAATAGGGCGTGCAAAGGAGACCCCGACTTCGATTCAGACCTCGACTAGATGAATCGGGAAAGTTTCCTTTACATCTTGCTTTTTTATTTATGTGTCATGGGAACATGCTACAATTAAAGTGTGGGTTGGGGGATGTAAAATGTATATGTATGTTTGTTTTCTTGTGTTTTGTTTGAATTTTCTTTTTGACTTTTTCCGACGATGGATTTTCTCGACTGTCCTCTTGAGGGATCAAAGTCGAAGACAAAAAAAATATTTTGTTGTTTTAGGTAGTGTAACAATTCTACCTTAGTTTTTCTTTACTCCACGGTTCTTTTTCAAGGGTTTTGCTTGAACTGGGTATGGTTAGTTTTTTTGTTAGGAATAGAGAAGTCTTGTGCTATGTCTTAACTTTGTTGTGCCTTAAGTGCAGTGAGTGCCTTAGTTGTGACGCCTAAGCTCAGTTCTTGACTCGTCTATAAGTGCCTTAAATTAGTTGATTGTGACTTTGCTTAACTGCTTTGACTAGAGAGTCGAGATAGATCCGATCCTGCGTAAATTATGTGTCAATGTGTGTGTGAGGTTGTTGTTGATATTCTATGTATGCCAGTTGATGTCTAGAACTTTTCACGTGTCTTTGCAAAGAAAAATAGCAGTTTTGTTCAGTCTAGAATATGATAGAGGCGTTTCTTTGTTGAGCCATATATATGCTTTTACCCACCTAATTGATGTGTATCTTAGTTAGCCCCTTTGAGCATGTAATCCTACTTCTTTGGAAACCACTTTGAAATCCTGACCCACTTTGTTTGAATTGACTATCTGTTTGAACCTTTTACCTCTCTTGAGCACTGGATTTTGCTATAAGCTTGAAAATGCTAAGTTGAGATATGGTCAGGTTTTTGAGTGAAACTATTGAAAAAGAAGAATTGTGCATTGTTTGAAAAAATTGTGAAAGCCACTTGTAGGGAATTGAAAAAAAAGAAAAAGAAAAGTGAGTTTGCTTGAAAAAAATAAATCAGAACTTAGAGAAGAAAGAAAAATCGATCATTGCTAGTGGTAGTTCTCATCTTGTTTGTGCTTAAAGAAAATGGGAGCTCGATGTTGTTATATTATGAAGGTTGGCATTTAGTTCAACATAAGTATAGGGTTTGAATTGTTAATGTATATGTATTAAAGTGCTCATGGGGGTGTAGTCACTATTATCCAAATTATATCCTACCCATCCTGAAACTTACATTACAACCAAAATAAAGTCTTACTTGATCCTTGACCGAATGAGCTCAATTAGTAGAGTATTACACTACGAGCAAGTCTATGGTACGTTTTCTGTGGCGCATGAATTTTAATTCTGAGAGTGAGTGAATTCTTTCAATCTTGAATTTTTATTTGTTCTTGAATTTTTTTGTGTGTGGGCACATGACTTATGAAGGTAAGGTAAACTCTCTATTGTTTGTGTGAGAGCACATGACTTCTCAAGGTAAGGTAAAGTCTTTGAACTTTGTGTTAGAGTAAGTGAGCAGGTTGTGAAAAATGCGTGGTGCTTTTGAGTCGAGTCTGGAGGCTAGGATGTTATGATATGGTGATTAGCTTGCTTCAAATATTCTTGGCATGATGGGTTAGGAAAGTTGTTTAATGAAAAGGTCGTCTCTAGTGAGGTGTAGTTTGATTGTTCGAGGATGATCAATGGTCTAAGTGTGAGGTATTGATGGTAGGCTAGGAACTCGTGTTTTAGCTACATTGTACACTCTAATTACTACCCTTTAATTGTATTTGAGCCTAATTATTTGTACTCTGTACTTATTACGTGTGTTATATTGTGTAGGATGTGATTTCGAGTGAAAAAGCAAGTTTGAAGCTAAAATGGATGATTTGGAGCTTTGAAGTCTGAGTAGAAGCCGAAGATATTAAGCCGGGATCACGTTCGGGGCTCTAGGACGAAGTCTGAATGTCAAAAACTGAGAAAAAAATTACTTTGAGAAAAATGCACTACCGCATTGCGCCATGGCGCCGCGGGGCGCTAGTACAAAATTCTTGCAGAGTGTAAAAATCAACTCTCTAAACTTCTCCACAGGCGCACCGTGCATGTGCAAATTTTACAGAGTATTTCTCCTACTTCAGCTTGGAAAGGATAGTTTCGTCCGGACCCGTTCTTATATGGTATAAATACACCAAAAATATATTTTTAGAGGACTTTTTTTTATCTTGGAAGCTTTGGGAGAGCATTGAAGGCTACAAGACACAAAATTTTATCATCTTTCTATCAATTGAATACAAGAGTTTGGATTATAACGTTAGATTAATACTTTCTCACTCTTTAATTATATTTTTGATGACTCCCTCCATCATTATGGAGTAGCTTACCTTAGAGTTTGACATGATTTGGTGCCTTGGTTGTTGTTTATGGACTTGACTACTGCTTAATTGCTTGAATTTATTGGAGGAGCTTTAATATAGTTGTGATTTTATTCTTTATAGTGTTTAATCGAAAGAGGAACATCTTATTGAATATTATTGCATTATATGCCTTAGTTTATTTTGGTGATTCTTCGAAGTAATCGAGAGAGCTTTTTGAGTTACAGTTTAAATTAAGATTGAGAAATATTCGCGAGAAGTTTCTTTTAGATCATTCCTACCAATAGATTTTTGCAAGTTCACCCGCACTTCACATTAGTTTATTTGAAAGATTTAGATTTAATCGAGAGGAGTCTGAATCAGAAGTAAAAGTCAATCGCATATTGAATTCGTTTAAGAGTGAAATATAACATTATTATATCCAGAATAACAACCTTGCACCTATCATGTAAAAACCCTTATTTCTCACATTGATAAAAAACCAACTCTGCTAATCTCCAATTCTTTGCAGTCAATTGTCAATTGATTTACTTTAGTAGTTAATCGTAGTTCGTAATCATTCCAATCAAGTTTTGATCATCCTGAATAGCAGTTAAACCAGGAATTACTAGAGCATTGTTTAAATTCAATCTCTGTAGAAACGATAATCATACTATATTATTTTTGGCTAGCGAGCATCAATTTTGTGTTATGTTTTGCGTTCGTCGGTCTCAAATTTCAAAAGTCTAAGATATTGTCGTGATATTTTTTATTTATCAAATTAAGGTACAATAGGTGAGTCACTTATTCTATTTTGTGCCGAGATGTGAGGATGCATACAATAATTATCTTATAGTTAAACTATTTGAACTTAAAACACATTGTAGAAAAAGAATTTGAACTTAATATTCTAAATATACTACATTATTTACTTGTACTCATTAGTATTCAAGGCATTCTTCATACAAGTCATAAATCATAATGTGAGGAAATTTATTTTCTTTCTCTTTCCTTTTTTGATATATGGTGAAATTTCAAGATTATAACTCTAATCATCCATTTCGTAGTCATCAATTACTTCAATAGTAAGTTTTCTTGCTTCGGAACAAAAAGAACAGCTCAATGCATTACCGGATCATAAGGACCTATTATACGCAGTCTTACCCTATATTTCTGCAAGATGCTACTTCCACAACTTGAACCCGTGACCTTCTGATCATATGACAACAACTTTATCAATTGTACCAAGGCTTAGTGTTGATTTAATAAAACAACACAATCTTTAGTGTTGATCCTAGATCCCCAAAGTGCATTAAGTTGCTGCAATAGCATATAAAGAAAATTAGCTGCTTAAGATAGCCAATTAATAATGACAATATGTTACCCAAAATAAGCCTAAAGTTTGTTCCAAAATTAGGGTGGTTCCGTGACACACAATCAACCAGAACACTATCTCATAGGCTGTCAATCTGAGTCTTAATAGAGAAGCAACATATAAAAGCGAAGCTTAATTCCACTTTTTATAATGCAAATTGCAGCAAGACGTTCAAGTCAATCAGATGTTCTTCCTCACACAGAATGATCTTATTTTATTCACACAAAATTCTTGCAATACTTCAATTCCAGGGTACAACATATATAAAAAGAAAAAGAAGAAGAAGAAAAAAGTAACGCTCTACAATAAACTTTAGAGAAATCGGCAGAGAACAAAACGTTATGAAAGATCCCAGTGAATTAAAATCTTGAGACCGCCCTCATAATGAAATGGTCTGAGGAAATCAAGTGGCCTAAGAAACATACATGGATGGTCATCCAGTTTAATCAAGCATTTTTAATTCCCCTAATTATGGCTGAAAAGATCTCAAGAATTTGGTTACACAACAAATGTGCTGACAGCTTGATGACTTCACTTTGTTTCCAGAACAGCTATGTACTTGGTGTTGGGAATAAACCCCTATAGAAATAATATTCACAGTAATAAAAGCGGAATAATAATGTAGTACTGAGATACAGTAATTAACAAGAATAAAAGAGAGATAACGACATCAAGATTTTTATGTGGAAAACCCTTTTGAATAAGGGAAAAACCACGGCCCCGAGACGAGCAACTGATATCACTATAGCAGTGAATTTTACACTCTGTAGGTCTGAGTAAAATACTCCAAAGACCACTACAACACTCAAAAGAAATAACCCTCTTTTGATATTCCCACCTCACTATAATATAGTTCACCCTCTATTTTTCTCACAAACTATTTTCTTATACCCTGTCTGTGAAACCTCACTCTTTTTTTTTCTCTTTGTTGGTGTGTAGAGATGAGAGCCGAAACTCTCCTTTTATAGGCGCAGCCTCACTCTCTCACGCCTACTATATTTGATATTTTCCTCTCTACAGATTTGCAAATCACATAAGTGCCTACCATATTTGACACTTTTCCTTCCTTTTCTTCTTCATTATGGGGATGGACCCCACAATCTCAGCCTCCAGGCTCATTCACCTGAAGGA